GATAGAGCAGGTAGAGAAAGAGGTACTTTTCTCCCTTTCTCACAATACAAGAACTCGTGGGCACTCAATGAAATTGCTGAGCGGTTGGGTTAGAACGGATAAAAGGAAGTACTTCTTCACCCAAAGAGTGATTAACACTTGGAATTCACTGCAACAGGAAGTGGTGGTGGCTACAAGCATGGATGGATTCAAAAGGGAATTAGATAAGCATATGGAGCAGAGGTCCATTCGTGGCTATTAGCTACAAGGTATAGAAGGGCAAGTGATGCTCTGTCTTCTTGGTTCTTGAGGGGGGGTCAACAGTGGGAGGGCTTCTAATGTCCTGGCCCCACTGGTGGACCTCCTGATGGCACCTGGTATTTCTGGCCACTGTGTGACACAGAGTATTGGACTGGATGGGCCTTTGGCCTGATCCAACATTGGCGTCTCTTATGTTCTTAAAGAATATACTGCTTACCACAGCATTCACTTGCTTTTCCAACAGGAGTAAAGAATCCAACAGAACCTTCAAACTCTCTGCCAATGCATCTAAAGACAAACTTACTTCACAAGAGTAGAGAGTAAACAGGGTTGCACTTACCTGTAACTTGTTCATGAACTGGTTACCTACGTAGTCACAGATGGCTACTGAGCACATGCACACCTGCTGCGGAGAGTGTTTCGAAGCTCAAACAGGCCTAATGGTGCTCCATCCCCCTCTCATGCTGTTTTCCCACCTTTCATAGCATGATATAGAGGGGCAGAGCTCCCTTCCCTCAGTTCCTCTCTGCTGCTGCCGGAGTGAGATAAGTAGTTGGATTTAAGTAAGAGCTTACAGTGGGGAAGGAAGGAGGGGATGTGTGACTGTACAGAGGAACCACTTGATGAACAGCAGTAAGGGCACCCTTGTTTTAATCATTGTGGTACCTGTGCAGTCCCCACATGGGAGAGCAATGAGCTGACTTATCAGTCTTAGGAAGGCGGGTGTGAGCTCTCAGTTAAACAAAGATTGCAGGACCGTTCTCCCTACTGCTGCATCCCTTGTGGCATTTATGTCCAATGAGTAATGTACTGTGATGGTGAAGGGTGAAGACCATGTCACAGCCTTGTAGATGACTTTGATGGGAAGACCACAGCAAAAAGCAGCTGAAATGCAATGAGCTTGAGTAGGCTGAGCATGCAGCTGTAGTGGACAGTTAACTTGCACCAATTTATAACACATTTTATGCAAGTTACTATCCATTTGGAAATGGAAAGCACAAGGAACAAGCTCCATTGAATAACTGGAAGGGGTGGACTGAGGGCAACTGAGAGCCAGTTTGGTGTAGTGGTTCAGTGCACAGACTCTAATCTGGGAGAACTGGGTTTGATTCCCCACTCCTTCACTTGCACCTGCTGGATGACCTTGGACAAGCCATAGTTCTGGCACAGCTGTTCTTGAAAAAGAGTGGTTTCTGTCAGAGCTCTCTCAGCCCCACCTACCTCACAGGGTGTCTGTTGTGGGGAGGGGAAGGGAAAGGAGTTTGTAAGCCGCTCTGAGATTCCTTTGGGTAGTGAAGGGCGGGGTATAAATCCAATCTCTTCTTCTCTTCTTCTTCTTCTTTTATTAGCCCCTTGAGGAATAATTTGGATTTTGTTGTCGAAGGCTTTCACGGCCGGAGTTCATTAGCTGCTGTAGATTTTCCGGGTTGTATGGCTGTGGTCTTGGCATTGTAGGACCTGGATGTTTTGCCAGTAGCTGCAGCTGGCATCCTCAGAGGTATAACACAGAAAGATGGAGTACTTTCTGTGTCAAGGTGAGAAGAAAAATGGTAGGCAGGTAATTTATATCTACTCAGGAAGGTGTGGTAGAGCTGAGTCATTATCTTGTAGGATGTGAACATGCTAATGGAGGAGCTTTCCTGAGGAGGTTCTTTTGTATATGGATGAAACTGGTGAAACGTCAGGTCGTACAATGCATATAGAAGGTTCCTGTCCACCTGACTTAGAATATGTTTTCCAGGGAACTCAGGTCTCATGTGCCGTGGGTACAAAAGAATTGGCATTTTTTGTTCAGATCAGTGGCAAATAAGTCTGTTAGTCTATTACTGGTGGAAGAAACATTAACAATTTGAGATATCCAGATGACATCACATTACTGGCAGAAAATAGTGAAGACTTGAAATGACTGCTTCCGAAGGTTAAAGCAGAAAGTGCCAAAGCACGATTACAGCTGAACATCAAGAAGACAAAAGTAGTGACTACCAGGGAATTATGCAACTTCAAGGCTGACAATGAAGAAATTGAAATTGTTCGAGATCTTCTATTCTTTTTTTTTAATTTTGACCTTTATCGGCATAAAAGATGCTGATAAATTACAATCAAGAATAAATACAAAGGAGATCTTCTATTCCTTGGTTCTATCATCAACCAAAAGGGAGACTGCAACAAAGACATCAAAAGGAGATTGAGACTGGGAAGGATAGCCATGAAGGAGCTAGAAAAGAGCCTTAAGTGCAGAGATATGTTGCTGGCAACCAAGATCAAGTCAATTTGTGCCACATTATTCCCTATTACTATGTATGGGTGTAAAAGCTGGACAATGAAGAAAGCTAACAGAAAGAAAAATGATTAATCTGAAATGTGGTGTTGGAGAGTTTTACAAATAATGTGGACTGCCAAAAAGACAAATAAGACAAATTCTAGATCAAATCAAGCCTGAACTCTCCCTTGAAGCTAAAATGACTAAACTGAGGCTATTGTACTTTGGACACATTCTGAGAAGACAAGAGTCAGTAGAAAAGACAACACTAGGAAAAGTTGACGGCTGCAGGAAAAGACCCAACATGAGATGGATTGACTCAATCAAGGAAGCCACGGCCCTCAGTTTGCAAGACCTGAGCAAGGCTGTTAATCACAGGACATTTTGGAGAGCAGTAATTCATAGGGTCGCCATAAGTCAGAAGCAACTTGATGCCACTTAACATAGACACAAGTCTATTAGTGGAACACCCCAACATTGCAAAATTGGGGATAGGAAGGTCCAGTTTAGCTGCCATTTGTGAGGGTGAGATGTGTTCGAGGAAGTCTGTTGGTTTGTTGTCAACCCCAGCTATGCATATAGCTTGAATCATGGCATTGTTGTCTTGACCCACTCCCATATCAGTGTTGCAAGAGGACAGAGTGTTAATGCGGATGTGTTTTATATAACAACATGGCTGTAAGACAGTCTGTAGCAACTGGATATTCTTGCTTGAAACGTGTGTATGAATGACCACTAGGCCACTGTATATGCTTTTGAGTTCCAACATGTTGATGCAATAAAGTGTTTCCTGGATTGACCATATCCATTGGCTCATATTTGGCCAATGTGGGTGATTCAGCCTAGCAAGGAGGCATCTGGGGTGACTGTGATATCTGTTAGTGGGAAATGAAAGTGGATCCCTGCTAAGAGGTTGGTGTTTAGGGTCCACGAATGAAGGGACCGCAACACTTGCCTTGGGATAATTTCTCTGACTGATGATAGAGAGAACGGAAAAACCTGATAAACCACAATTGCATGCAGTACCACTGACATGGTGGAGGCCATTAGCCTTAGCAGGAACTTATTTAGGCCTCCCTGGTTTAGTATGTACCTCACTGCCCCTGCCCTTTCTTTTTTGACCAGAAAGTATCTGGAGTACAACCCCAATTGTTGATCTTTCGCAGGCACTTCTACAATGCATGGACCTCTGCTAGGAGTTCATGGTCATCTGTGTGGGGAATTTTCAACCCACAGGACCTGCATTTTTTGAAGAGCGCATTTTGTACCATACTCTGGACACTTGGCTCTAAAGAAGCAGTAGGCTGAGGTAGGTAGCTGTTGGCAGTAACTGGCTGTTGAAATGGAGCTTTGATGAAGGAACCTCTCTCAGTGGTGGCAGAGAAGTGAGGGAAGGGCACTCTGTCCCCTCTCTCTATCACACGGTGAAAGGCAAGAAAACAGTGTTGGGGAGTGGGATGAAGCACTTTTGCATTTTTGAGCTTCAAAAAACTCTCTGTGGCAGGCCTGGGTGTGCAAAGTACCCATGTGGGACTATACAGATACCACAACAATAAATAGCATTATCCAAAGCATCTCTTCTTTCTTCTCTATACTGAACAGCTCTACAAACTATTCCAGATCCTGTCTGTGTGAAGATCCAGATCTCATAGATCCCAGAAGCTGCGCTGATTATTCTATTCCAATCTTTCCATTCAGCATTCAGTTCAACAATGGGTGGCAGAGAATCAGGGTGTTTATAACTAATTGCCACATTTTTAGCTTACATAATTAGTAAGTCCTTATTTCTGAACAATGTTATATATTAGTGTATAATTTCTGAACAAATCCAAGAATGGAACAAAAAACTAGGCCTAATACTGAGAAGAAAATTAATGACTACATTGTTCACAACTTAATTTCTTGAGATTTATGTGATTATGCATTTGAATTGATTTGTAAAAATTATTTTTGCAATCCAATGGCAGTTCTATATACCCAGTGTCAGTGGATTTCTAATTATAGACTATGGTATTTTCTTATCCATTTTCAGAAGAATGAATTTACTATGAAATGTAGGAAAATGACCTGTAAAGTAAACAATGTAATATACTTTAGTTGCATATTATCTTAATAATTTATTCCTTTACTACCCACTGATGTAGAAATGAAAAACACATTTCCTGGATGAAACACATGACCATACATCCTTATTAGTACTCCTTTATATGAAACAGAAGGAAATTCACAAAGTGTTTTCAACACTGAATCCAGTGCCAAGGAGTTCCTGTTTCCTACCAGTAAGAGGAGTGAGGCTTTAAAATAATGCAAGAAACCATTCAGTGTTACAGCATAAGAAAAAAAATTATTGTAAGAATAAAATGATCCACTTAAAAGACATGTTGCTAAATGATTAAAAATAAAGTACTAGAAATTAAAAATTCTGTGTCTGCAGGGTTTCTTTTAAAGTAAGAATCTGGTTAAGTGGCATTTATATTCTGTCAAATAGCATTAAACTTACCCTTCTTTTTCAGCTGGATACAAGTTATAGGAAAGCAGAGGTGCACATTTTCCATCCAGATTTAACCATTCAAGAGATCTACAGCTCACAGCAGACGAGGTCTCACTGATCTATGAAAAAGAAAAGGTGGGGGAGGGCTAAACTTCTGGTGATTGTGCTAGCATAAGAATAAAGTCCCCTGCTCTGTAGGCTTATATAGTTGAAATACATATTTAAATCTCACTTCCATGTAACCTTATGTCCATGTTTGCCATGAAACAAAGACTTCTGCACTAGTGACAGATTATATCCTCTTGCATTCGCAGTCACTACATTAGCACTGCATGTGCATTTGCAGGCAGGAAAGTCTTGTAGTGTTGTGTTCTCAAGATAAAGTATGTAATCTACTGAGAAAGTTTTCTACACAAGAAAATAATAATAACACAAAGTACATCTTCCAAAACACCAGTTTCAATTCTAAATGGGTTGTGCACAAGGAAGTCCTATAAAATGTGTGCAATGGCACTAGATTCCAACAGACACGCCCCTTCCAAATTTTGTTTACTGTTCTGGGTCTCATCCCCAATGATGGGGGGGCAGGTCAGGGAGACACTGCATGACAACACGTTGTCTGTAAGCTACAAGCTATTTGTTGCTGAGTGCAATTTTAACCAATTATTTTATTGTTGTTTTATTTTTGTTGTTAAATTTGCTTACTTTTTTTTTTTAACTTTTTTTCCCCTTGGGTTTTTTTTCTGGATGGGAATAGTTTGTTGAAGAGTGGGTGGTTAGTTTATATATATTTTTCTCTTTTCTTTTTGCTCATCTTGGTAACTTTTTGTCACATGTATTCTTTTACTATTTTTGGCAAATGCTTTATAGTAAGGTTCTCTATATTAATGGTGACCCACAAGTCCAGATTTACTTGATAGGATGACCCATCCAGGGCCGGCTCAAGATTTTGTAGTGCCCTAGCCAGACTATGACCTTAGCACCCATCTAGTTCAGTGTTCCATTTTCTACAGTGGCTAATCAGAGGTTTCTGAAAAACCAACAAACTCTACACAAAGGGCTCAGCTGCCTCCACTATGAACCCCAAGCAAGTGGCCTTCTGACATACATAGCCTTTCCATATGGAGGTTACATTCCACCCTCTCCTTATCCATTACTCATTCTAATCCCTCCTAAGATTCTGAGAGACTCATTCAAGACACGTTTCACTTGATCAACATGTACACAGAAGTTATGACATGGAAGATACTGCTTCCAGGGTCAGATCTTGCTTTCCAAAATACAAAGAGAGCAATGGAAAGGGCAGGCGGCCATTAGGGAGGGCTGGTCCACGACCCACCCATAGAGGCATTGTGACTAACTTTTGGGTCCCGACCCACAGGCTGGGAAACGCTGCTCTATATGATACTTTGCAACTTTTCCATGACTGAGGAATTAGGCATTGTGGATCAGATATATTATTTTCAAGTGTTATGTTCAACGTGACATAATGAAATGTTAAGAGCCTCAGGGATTCTAATAAGCATAAAAAGGTTATTTCCAAGTTGGAAGATCTTTTACAAGAAACTTATATAGTGGCAACAGATAAGAATTACTTGTGTAAGGTGAGGCATATATTACAGATACATGTAATCGATCTAAAGGTATTGCTATATAGATAAACAAGTATATTCCTTTCCAGGTTCAACAAGTGATTACAGATCTGAAAGGTCACTTTATTATTTTGGTAGTGAAAAGTTCTGATTCTATTATTGTTATGATTAATGTTTATGGTCCAAATGTGGACTCTCCAGACATGTTTCATCAGTGTTCCAGCCACTTGGTAAATTTTATACATGACTATCTGTTGGTGGCGGTAGATTTTGTCCCGCCAGCGGGCCTCCTGCAGCCCCCCCGATGACACCAGCCACCCCAACACCTCCCAACAGCTCCTCCCGCAGGTCGACCCCTGCTCACCTGGAGGCCCTGGGGGCTGGGGAAAGAAGCACCGGAGGAGCCCATCGGTGGCCCGACAGCCTACAGGGGGGCCGCACTCCAATGGCCCAATTGGTGCTGGCCTAGCTCCAGCGGCCACGAAGAGAGGGAGGGGATGCCACTTGGGCCAGAGGCTGTCACGCTGGGCCACAGATCCGGCGTGAGGGCCCGCCCCCGCCTCGGAGCCCAACAGCCCGGGTGAGGCGAGGAGGGTGCACATGGCCCTGCCCAGCAGGAGACACTGGGGAGCATGGCGTCTCCCATTAAGAATGGGGGTGGGGCTGGGCTAGGGAGGGACAGAGGCGGAGCCAGGGGAGCACAGTGGGAGTGGGATAAAAGGAGGGCACTGAGCAGGGGCCGAGGAGGATTGCCTGAGGTCTGCGGAGCCACGTCAGATAGAGGGAAGGTCAGTGACCCAGTAGGAATGTGCGCTAGGGCGTGGTGACGGAACCCACCCTCCCCACTCACGCAGCTGAGGCCTCTGCCACCATTCGGGATGTACCACCAACGTGACTGAGCTTTTTCGAAGCTCTGACTCTAGTGACAGCGAGGGGGGGGGTTCCACAGGCTTGTGTGACAGATTTTAATTACATACTAGACACAGCTTTGGATCAAAGCACACCCACACACAAAGAATATTCTTTGGTAAGATCTACCCTCAGAGACTATATGGCTGAACTAGGTTTGATTGATCCCTGGTGTATACTACACCCAATGGACAGAGATTATATTTTTACTTCTGTGCATCATCACTTTTTCCGGTTAGACTGTTTCTTGCTTCAGCTTCTTTGATGCCCCAGATTACTGCCTCTGATGCAGATGTTATTTCTGACCACACCCCCATATTATTAGTCCTTCAGTTTCAAGACTGGGTTAGGTCACCTGGTTTATAGTGTTTAAAAGTTTATCTTCCTCATGATGAGACTTCTAAAAATCAGATATCACAATTATGGAAGAAGCAGCACAGGAGAGAGCTACAGGTGAGGTGAGGGTTTTTGGGGTGTTTTTTTAAAATTTTCTTAAACCACTGGGGACTGGGAGCATTAATTGAGGCTGCTGTGTGAGAGGGCAGTGTTTGAAGATAAGTGGGTGCTTGTAGCCTGCTGGAGAGTGGTTTCTGTTTGGTTGCTTTGTCTGGTTTGTTGACAATTGAGGAGGGTCTGTTTGCCTGTGGCTAACTGCAGGACCCACCCACTGTTTGCCTGGCTACTCCTGCCCACCAGAAACCAGAGCAGCTACTCCTCCTTCCTCTCCTTGCCCACTCATATGCCCCTGATAGCACACTGCTGTTACATCCTGGAAAGCATACTCACTGGATCTCAAGGGCACACTAGAAACTTATGAGAGGATGTTAACCCTCAGATACGTAGGGTCTAATCTCTTTCGGGCTTTATTCATATTGTCACACCTTCTATCTGTACTGGCCTTAAAGAACACAGTGCTGGCCCTGACAGGAAAGCCTGGTAGGTACACCCAAGTCTCTGTCCTTTGTCTGAGCAGGGCTGAGAACTTTTCTCTTTATGATTAGCTCTCTCTTTAACTGTTCATAGGTGGAGGCTGTTACATCACATCACTGTCCCTTTGGGGCTTCATTTGGCTCCATCCTGCAAGGGCACCATCTGCCTGACTTTTGGAATGCTAGCCACCTTTTTGTGTGTGGGGGGATACTGTGGAAGTGAAGGATTTTGTGCTGGCTGGAGTTCAGAAGCTCATTTTTGTTCTCTTATTGACCCAACTGCTGCCTAGAATGCAGGGAATATCCTTCATAAAGGCTACTGGTTCAAGAGCCTCAGCAATATCTCAAAGTCACATATTTAAGGCACTTCCAATAGAGGTTGCTTGACATTCTGACTAGTCCATCTGCCACTCCTGAGGCCCTTTGCTGCCGCCTCCACCACATCACATACATATAATAACCAACTTCTCCCTCTGTCTTGCACATGCACACTAACAGTGTCAAGCTAAAGTATATCAGAGAAACAGAGAAGGGGATCCTTCCTTTCCCTTGTGTTCCCTGTCCATCTGTAAAATGTCATGGACAGTTACTGTGTCACTTTTCTTTAAGAAGCTATGTAAGTTTTCTTGCTTGCAAATAAGCAACTCTGAAAAATATTTTCCCTTTATTTTACAAGAAAATAATGAGAAACAATGACACAATTAGAGAAGAAAGTATAACGCACTCAAAGCTTACCAATCGTCTTTGCCTTAAAATGGCAGCCTCAGCCGGATGGTTGAACCTGAACTTGTGAGTTTTACCCAGAACAACAAGAGCTCCTGTGACAAATTCCAGAGAGATGACCATGTTAGACCGCTGAAGCAAGAACAACATCTTGTACTGCCTTAAAGTCTGAAAGCTCTTTTGCAGTATGAGTTTTATGGAAGAGAACCTACATTGTCAGACACATCTGATGGAGAGCTCTGGCCAACAAAAGATCACAATAAAATTGTTTTATTTAAGGTGCCATTAAAGGAATGTATTTTATTGAAGGTGCTCTGTAATTTCAACCTTTAAACAACAATGGACATCATCTGCAATCTGTCGCCAACTATGATTTTTGCTAGATGATTCTCAGAGTATCCTATGAACAAAAAATTTTGAATCCCAGTTTGACATTAACTGATATTTTCAAATTTGCAAAACTAAAAATTCAACAGAATGAAAAACATCAACACAAATTAATCATAGTATGTTTAAATGAAGAAGAAGAGGAGGAGGAGGAGGAGACTGGATTTATACTCCACCCTTTACTACCCAAAGGAATCTTAGAGCAGTTTACAATCTCCTTTCCCTTCCCCTCCCCACAACAGACACTCTGTGAGGTAGGTGGGGCTGAAAGAGCTCTCCTGAGAACTGCTCGTGACAGAACAGCTCTGAAAGAACTTATGACTGGCCTGAGGTCACATCAGCAGCTGCATGTGGAGGATCAGGGAATCAAACCCAGTTCTCCCAGATTAGAGTCCATGCACCTTACCACTACACCAAAAAACAAAGCAATAAATGACTGGATCGGCATATTTAGATTTCTTTCCTATTCTATTAAAAGGACTCAAAAGACATTATAATATGTTCTTTATTGTCCCCAAAACCCTATAACGCAAGTTAAAGGCTGTGATTCTCCCAAGGCCATGTTTTGAGCTTCATGACAGCACTGGGATTTGAAACTGGGCACACCACTTTGAAACCTACTATTCTGTTCACTGGCATGCTTTGCAGTGTCAAACAGAATACGGATATCTGGTGATATTATGAAAACAGGACTTTTTAACAGAGATTAGCAGCCAAGAAGTAGGGAGCAATTTAGATCATGTCTAGTCAGGATTTAGTAAGCAGCAAATGAAGACCTGCACCAATTGGAGTAAAGAAAGGAAGAAAAAACAATGGTGCAGTGGGAAGGAAATTTTATTCCAAAATATTAATAACCCCAACGCATTTCATGTTAAGCTTCCTCAAGGAGATCTATACATACGTCAAAAAAGAAAGAAAAATGTTAACAAATATCTTTTGACTTTCTCTTAATTATTTTTAAAACGTATCAAAACAAAAAGCATATTCACAGAACACCTAATTATCAAGAGCCACCAAAACCCTGTTGGGAACTTTAGGCTTCAGACCCGGCTGTGGATGCCTCTGCTAGCTTCAGCTGGACCTCTGTCTGAGTGTAGACAAAGGCTCTTTGTTGCTTTTATTGGATTTATCTGCAGCCTTTGGTAACAGTAGAACATACCATCTTGTTGAGGCAGTTGGGAGGCAGAAACAGATATCAGAGCATGTGCATTGAACTGGTTCAAATCACTCCCCACAGACTGGATTCAAAGAATTACTGCTGGAAATATTGTCGTCAACATGGGACATATCCTGTGGGGTTCCACAGGGCAAAATTCTATTCCCCATGTTTTTCAGACTCAATGTAATCTCAATGTAATGATTTTAGCCAGCTGCAGAGGAGCCAAGCAGAAGGAGACGCGTCTTCGTCAGGAGAGACAGCCATTTGGCAGTTTATTCTGTCAGGGAAAAGTGTCCAGGCTGGCAGTGAGTGGGGGAAAGGAGCGGACCCAGCACCCAGCCAATGGCACGCGAGTACTCTTGAGTGGCAGTTGATGGGCCAACAGCTGATGGAGGGCACAGCACAGCCAATTTGAGAGCCAGAAAGTGCCAATATGCTGGGCTTTTATATATATAGGATTCCTGCACAATCTGTTCTCATTAAAAACAGTTATTATTCCACCCACAGGTTACTGTAACAATAAATTATTTTCAGCCCAATTTTATGCATTTTGACTCAAAAATCCCACTGAAATAATCAAGATTTACTTCTGGGTAAACATAGCTAGGATGAAGGTGCTTCATGTTTTAAAGGATTTTATAATGATACTATATAAATGTTATTATAGCAAATATTTATTTCTGCATTTTGTAGTTATATACCAAATTTTGCTGATGGCAGCGCACTATCCCAATCTTGTCAGTTCTTGGAAGCTAAGTAGGGTCAGCCTTGGCCAGTATTTGGATGGGAGACCACCGAGGAACACCAGGGTTGTGACATGGAGGCAGGCAATGGCAAACCACCTATGAAGTCTTTTGCCTTGAAAACCCTATGAGGTTGCTATAAGTTGACTGTGACTTGCCAGCAAATCAATCAATAAATAAAAGCAGAAGTACAGGACTTACCTTGTGACAAACGGAAGGAATCTGTGACTTTGTGACCATTCACAATGCAATGGACTCCCTGAAGGGGCTGCAGAGTCACAACCCCATGGTGGTTTTCTATAATGCAGTGGTCCTTTTCAATCCATTCACCCTGCAAAACTGCAAATGTACAGATTCCTTTTTACAGGTTTATGGAGATTAATACCTGTTCCACACCATTATCTTGGTACATAACTCTACTGCAAATACCCAGAACTGCAAATGAGTATATGTGTATATTGAAATAGCTCTTAAAATAATTTATGCAGCTCATCACCACTAGTGCAAAGCCCTGCCCTAAGGTTCACAATCTAGGCAACATGGAGATACTGTTCAAGCACATCAAATTTATAGTGTAATCCTATGGAGAGTTACTCCAGGCAATTTCAACTGACTTCAAGTAGAGTAGGGGTGTGCATTTGGGTCTACCCGAACCAAAATTATACCTGAAAAACACCATTTTCAGTATTTGTTTCAGGTATATTTTGGCATCCCAAATGTATCCGTGATTTTTCGGGAGAACCAACAAAAATCCCAGATATATTTGGGAATTACTGGCAAACCCAGAACAACAGCTGAGGGGCTAGAACAGATTGCTCCCACTGCTCAGCTGTTTTTGAGCTTTCTTCTGCAGACCCTTTAAACAGAGTGTGTTTAAAGGGACTGCAGAAAAGCCTGCAAAACAGCCAAGGGGGGCCATTCTCCCCACCGGCTCAGCTGGGGCTCTTTTGGCCTGTTCGACTGAAGTGCCAAAGAGAGCCCCAGCTGAACCTGCAGGAAGAGTTCTCCCTGCAGGATCTGCTGCTCTGCAGGCTCTGTTGAACAGTCCAGTTTAAACTGAGCTGCCCAGCAGAGCCCGCTGGGAGAGTTCTCCCCGTAGGATCAGCTGCTTTCTGAGTTCTTTTGGGCAGTCCGGTTTAAAGGGACTGCCCAAAAGAGCCCCAGCTGAGCCGCCGCTCAGCTGTTTCTTGTGGCTTTGCCACTGCTTTTCCCCCCCTCTCTGTATTCTTTTGTTCAGGTCTATTGGACCCCCAAAATTTTGGGATTTCTGAAAAAATCCCAGATTCAAATACTTTACTGGAATTGGGATCTGGGTTTTTTCAGGACTCCTGAATTTTTTTTAGGTCCAACAGACCTGAACCAAAAACTATCAAGAAAAAAAACCTGCAAATGCCTAGAGTAGAATAACTCTGCATAGGATTACATCATTAAACCTTTTTATCTCAGAGATAACCAACTTTTGAAAAAACAAACTGAATTTGCAGGCAGTTGTTCTGTTCTGTAAATTTACTGCTTGCTCTACCAAGCTGTTGTATGGCAATCAAGCTATGCTATGCTATCTTTAATAAATGTGTCCATTACTTTAGCAGTTTCTTCCTTAAGGTGCATCTCTGAGGAAGCTATGTCAGACAGGTCAAAATTCACAAACAGCTGGACAGGAAAAGACACAAGAGTAAAGTGAACACACATTTTTAAAAACTTTGAAGAAAATAATAGAAAAAGATGCTGAAATAGACACTACATGTTCAGTACTCCCAATGACTCTCTGGTATGCTACTGTGACAGACTGCACTTTAAAAGTTCAGATGTGCTGTGTAAATATGCAAAGGACTGTGAAGGGTTAATGCCTCATAGAGCCAGAGAGCTTGAGTGACAGGCTGCTCAAAGAAATTTGACTGGTTAGCATCAGTTGAGCAGAAAGACTTCAGAGCTGCATGCTGAAGAGAAGTGAGTGCTGATGGGTTTTGCGTTTAGCCCTGACTGAGAGCAGTTTAACATGGACAGAAAACTGGGAAGGTTGGCAGGAGGATTGGGTAGATTGGTGAAGACTCCCATTCAAGCCAGAAAAAGGGACAGATCTTCTAATGAGAGAAGAAATTCCCTAAAAAAGGGAGATAAAGAGTGGAGCGATCTTTGATCTGGTGTGTTTAGAGAGTGCCTTCTGGAACCTGAAGAAACAGTAAAACTCAAGAAAGTGTATTGGTATGTTTAGTGAAGGAATTTGGGAACTGGAATGTGTATCCCTGCCTTCTGGAAACCAAAAGAGACAGTTAAGCTGAAGCAGGCATACTGGAGTGTTTAGGAAACAATGAAACAAAAGCCTCTCATCTTAAAGATTCTAAGACTGTGTGAAAAGCTTAAGAAACTCTCAATTGCTTGAAACATATGAACTATAGTCTGTGCCTATACTGATTTACCTCAGAGTTCATTATTGATTCACCTCAGACATTTTACCCCTGATTTCATCTAACCTTTTCCCCTCTGCGTTGAATAAAATATTTTGTTAGTTCTGAACTTTAAAAAGCCTCTTGTGTGCCATTTTAGTCATTTGTTAAAGGGATTATCTTCTCCGTTCCCTCAGGTTCCTGGACTGAGCCAGAAGCAAAATCATACTGTGACGGGGGGACAGCCATAGATCCTCAGAGAAGAAGAAACTAGATAAAAAGGGCTGCTCAGTCAGAAAGAGAGAAAAAGGGAGGGAAAATTCTGCCTCTGAGGGATGTAAGTGAGTGAGGTTGTCATAGCTACACACTATACTGTTTTGTATATCCAGGACAGCTTTCCATTTGCAAGCTCTTGCAGTATAATGTACTTCCTTTTAGTGCTCATCCTGGTTGAGCTACCCCTGAACTACGCCCAAATTCTCATACCAGATAAGGTTTCCAGTGATGGGAAAATCCTTGAGCTCCTGCTCACATTTTCTCTTTCTTAAAGTTTTCTCTCTTAGACGCACTAACTACTGTATGAATATAAGTAAGCTGACACACTCTACTTTGCTCTACTAGTTCTCTGATTTTCCCTTGACAAAATAATTATCTACCTACCTGGAGCTTCTGTTAAAGACTGTTTCAACTTCCTAGTTGAAAGAGAATACTATCCTATCAGAGAATACTGTCCTATCAGCCTTCTGCCACAGTCTGAGCATGACTGCATCCTGCCCCCCCCCCCAGCTTTTGGCCAATCATTCATCAGTGGCCTGGATCTGACTGAACATCTGATTAGACATCAGATTTGATTTAACATCTGATCTCTCTGCTTTTATACGGTATTTTATGACATTATTCTATGTAAATTTGTTATTTTAATTGTATTATTTAATTGCTGGACACCGCCCTGAGCCCATTCGGGGAGGGAGGTATATAAACAAACAAACAAACAAAATGGCCTTTATTACTATATAAAACCCCAGCCAAGAAGCCCACAGCTCACATGACAGGGCATGTGACCTACTATACACATTTAGAGCACAGATTAGGGGATTTTGTTGATGTGAACTTTGCAAAAGGACTTTGCACAACAAGGAAGCACTTAGCATAAACAGCCAAGGGAATATTTGCCTTACACTGCTCTGCTCAGAACCTTTACAGGTACTGAGTACCAGCCTCAAACTGGGTCTGCAGCAACCACCTTTCCCCGCCCACCTTGTTGCTCACCCCCACACTGTAGATAGCCTTCTGCACCCTCCTCCAAGAAAAACAGATAGCTTCTTTCCTTAATATAAGACTACTCTATTCATTGATTGGCTCATAAATCTTACCAATATCCTGTTCCTGGTTTGAATCACATCTTCCAATTTTGGTTGTTCCTTCCTAAAAATTGACACAATCACAGTGATCTAAGTAATTTTTGAACCTGTTGTTGACTGATATCATCTAATAAATATGCACAAATTAAAGCTTGGATCCACTGGAGCTCTACCATGGTGGTAGAGATTTTTCCCTTGGAGAATAACTTTATCATCTCTACAACACTGTAGCCCAAAATGTACTCTGAAATGCTGTTCCCGGGGGGCTTGCCATCTCCTAAGAAAAGCACTGGTAAGACATTCTGGGTTGCAATGGGAAGGGGAGGCAAAAGATCACACTCCACAGGTAGAAATCTTTCTATTCACTGAAAAGCTCTGGCGGATCCAAGGCATAGTTTATACTTTGCTATTTAACCAACATGTGGGTTGGGGAAAAACAGTTACACTAGCCTCTCATAGTAATTTTAGCACAAATTGACTACTATCATTTACTGGAATCAAGACGTGTTGCTGAACTAATTTTCTGTAAGAGAATTAATTGTAGACAGAAGGGTCAAGTTGCCTATCAACTGTGCACTTGGAAAATAATAGTAGTGTACATTCTCCACAGGCATTTCAACATAAATGAAAACATCTTGCAGGACTAGTAAATTCAGTCTGTATTCTACAAACAAAAATATATGGTTTGGGCTGCAACTGGAAGGGCCCTGTCACCAATAACTTAAAAGGCAATGGAGTTCCCACAACTAAGTATTCCATTCCATGTGCATCATTATATGCTCTGTACTTTAATGTTGGACTCCAAAATAAACTTCATACCACATGTTTTGAATCTTAGCTGCAAAAATGTCTTATTTTCAGAACAGTAGTCAGAATATCATGGGTTATGTACTTACTGGCTGACCTTGAAGTAATCTAATTGTTTGGGAATGTACCTATTGATGACCATTTTAAGAAAAAAGACTTAAAAAAGCCTCCCATTCAGACTTGAACAATCAGGGTATTGGACTACTGCCAAATGTTAAGGCTCTAATTTATTGTGAAGTATTTTAACACTCTCAACACCCCTATGAAAAAGTGAGTCAATGAGGTCCAAGGAAGAACACATATATAACACATTACCACAGGAGAATAATAATTACCGGTGAGCAAATTGCCTTAAAACAGAATGACATTTAGCATTGTAGCATTATTAGTGACACATCACTATCACAAAACCTAACAGTAAGCTGGCCAGTCCCCGCACACACACCCAAAAAAGCAGCAAAATAATGATTCCATAAATTAACCAAAGGAAAAAGGGAAAAAATGTAAAAGGCCCAATGTGGACAGTGCTTCCTCTAAGAGGCACAGAATGCTGAAAACAACTGAGTCTGTTATTGGGAGGGGGAGCAGAAGAGAGGAACTTTACCTGCTCAAACTCCTGACAGCATACACAATCCTGGAAGGGGAAAGGGGGGAGGTAGGGCAGCAGGGATTGTCCAAGACACTTCCCTGCTGCAATTCTTTCCAGATTCTCAGAATTTTTGATTAAGTGTGAAATAATGCTCAATTTTTTAAAAATGGACCATCTCACTAAAATATATTTTTAAATAAATAGCAACATGCTGAACTGGCATAAGCATTATGCAATACGCTGAATTATTGTATATTAACAAGACCCAAGTGGATAAAGCAGAGAAAGGAGGAATATATCCCTGCAAAAGTAGACTCAGGGGATAGGGAGGAGGAGGTAACATAGTCTCTCATGATTTCATCTTACTCACCAGGTACTCAGATGGGTAATCTGATTTTTATTTTATGCACAGTGTGTGGGATTTTGCTGATAGATATAGTTGTTGATGTACTGCCAATCCTGCTGCCTTAATTTATGGAGGTGGCGTCAAGGGCAGTATTGGTGGCCCCAGGGACTACTGTCCTGGTTCAAACTCAATTCAAACCCCTCTCACTTGATGTGGCTCAGGAGTTCATGACCAACAAACCAAACATGAGTTTGACTCAAACTACACGTAGCAGGGCACACCATTACAGTTCTTTGCCCAGACTGGGGAGTAGGGGTGGTATGTGTGTGTCAGGCATCAGATCTTGGGAAGACAGGTGAGACCATGGCTCAGTGCTTAATTTCAATGTGTGGTAAAATCTCCACTGGGTTCTGGACACAATTTTAAAGTGTTTCCTTTGAATTTTAAGACCTAATAACAGTATTCTTCTGGTCTTAAAGATTTTCCTTGAAAACACTGGGTCTAGTAATGTCCCAAGCTGCAAACTTAAGTCTCAGTCTTGTACTCGATGAGGGTGAACAAACTGAAATTTAACCTTAAAAAGACTGACAATCTTTCTGGTCCATGACAGAGTACATCCTGCACTGCTCTGGATGTCCAGGTGGTGGCAGTGGTCAATAGTAACATTTATTACCTAGACCATGAGTGGCAAAACTTGCTTAAGGTAAAAGCCACATAGAATAATCATCAAGATGTTTGAGAGCCGCAAGATATGAACAAATTAGACAAACATTTTTATTGAAAAATATGCAATTTTGCTTTTTATTAACATTAAATGAGACTGCCAAAAATAAAAAGGGGTAAAAATAGACTGATAATGATATTTATTTGTTCAATGATATTTATTTGTCTAAGTCTTAGATTCTAAGAGAAAGAAAGAGACAAAGGTGGAAAGAATGAAAGAGTTGGAAAGAGAGAGAGGAAGAGAGAGAGAAACAAAGAAAGCAAATAGATGGGGAAGACGGAGAAGGAATGAAGAGAAAGGAAGGAAGGAAGAGAGAAAAAGAGAAGAGAGAAAAAGGTGGAAAGAAAGCAAATTGATGGGGGAGGGAGGAGGGGAAAGAGAGAAAGAAAGAAACAAAGAAAGAAAGCAAATAGATGGGGAGGGAGGGGGAGGAAGGACAGAAGGAAGGAAGGAAGATCGAAAGAGAAAGGTGGAAAGAAAGGAGAGAGAAAAGAGAGAAACAGAAACAAAGAAAGCAAATAGATGGGAAGGGGAGGAAGGAAGGAAGAAAGAGAGAGAGAGAGAGAGAGAGAGTAACAAAGAACAGTAACAGTACTTGAATAAAACTTTGTTGGTCTTAAAAGTGTCACTGGACCTGAACTTTGTTCTGCTGCTTCAGACCAACACAGCTACCCACTTGAATCTATTTATTACCTAAACCTGCTTTGTTAGCTCTGCCCATCCCTGGACATATGGTAATTCATACCCTAATAATATTGTTTGGTGCTGCCTTTGAAAACTGTTTGGAAACTGCCTTATTTGAAATTGACAACTGGTTCAAAACAAAGCCACCAGATCAGTGACTGGAATGGGCTGTATGGATAGGGTAGCCAGCTCTGATCTGGAGATTTTGGGGGTGGAGCCTGAGGAGGGTGGGGGGAGGGAAGGGACTTCAGTGGGCTATAATTCCAAAGCTGGCATTTTCTCCAGGTGAACTGATCTCTGTCACCTGGAGATAAGTTGTAACAGCAGGAGATATCCGGCCACCAACTGAAGATTGGCAACCCTATGTGACATGGTATATCCACTGTCAGTTTGGCAACATCTTCACTGGCTTGTGGACCCAATTTTAAAGTGTTGTGTTTTACTATTAAGCCCTAAAAATAGTCTTGTTCTGCTGTTTAAGATCTTCCTTGGAAGCCCAGTTGCATATCCCCTCAGAATATGAAGTATGGCATGTAAACACAACCTTTTCAGTAGTGGCTGTAAGAAGAAGAAGAAGAAGAGATTGGATTTATACCCTGCCCTTCACTTGGAGTCTCAGAGCGGCTTACAAACTCCTTTCCCTTCCCCTCCCCACAACAGACACCCTGTGAGGTGGGTGGGGTTGAGAGAACTCTGACACAAACTGCTCTTTCAGGAACAGCTGTGCCAGAGCTTGTGACTGACCCAAGGTCACATCAGCAGGTGCAAGTGGAGGAGTAGGGAATCAAACCCGGTTCTCCCAGATTAGAGTCCGCACACTTAACCACTACACCAAACTGGTCTATTGAATTTCTCTCCCCAAGAAGTTCACTTGGCCCCATCTAGGCAAAGTGTCAGAAGAGTTTTCGGCTAAACATTATTCCTAACAGTTAGAGCAGTTCCTCAGTGGAACAGGCTCCTCAGGAGGTGGTGGGCTCTCCTTCTTTGGAGATTTTCAAACAAAGGCTGGAAGGCCATCTGACAGCAATGTGGGTTCTGTGAACTTAGGCAGATCATGAGAGGGAGGGCAGGAAGGGTTGCCTCAGTGCTTAGTTCTTGTGGCCCTTTCTTACACGCCCAGGAAAATGCTGATTGCCACTTTGGGGTCAGGAAGCAATTTTTCTCCAGGCTGGTTTGGCCAGGGATCCTGGAGGTTTTTTGTTATCTTATGGGCATAGAACAGTAGTCACTATGGGTGTGGAAGGGGAGACATTTGTGAATTTCCTGCCTTGTGCAGCGGGTTGGACTAAATGACCCTGGAGGTCCCTTCCACTCTATGATTCTATGATTCAGTTGCCTATAAAGTAAATAGTTCTGACTTCCAAAGAGAACTATTAAAGAAGTAATCCTTGCCCAAACCAGCCCCATACTACCAAATATTTGAGCCCAGTTCACTCAAACAGCAAGTAGTAACACTGTACCTAGACAGTACCATTTCAGGCCCCACACAAGAGATGACAAGACTGAATAGCTAACCATGAAATAAACAAAGCTAGCAAATTTCAGTCATGGGCTCTCAACTGACAGTCTGAAGTGGTACATTCCTCAGACAGTTTTACCAACTTACTTGCTGTTTGTGTTAATTAGGACCTGTTCTGTCATTTTTCAGGACACAAGTTCTGGCTAGCTGCCAATGTATTTTTGCGTAGGGAAACAACATTCCTAAATGGAGAAAATATGGCCATGTCATCAGAAAATTGATAAAGTTTTGGTTAGGACACTGTGACATTCATTGTTACAATATTTCACAGGACCGATACTGCTGACAATTCTATAGCAACACCATGAATAGGATATTTTCCTTTAAGAGGCTTTCTAAACTGGCATATAGTGAACTAATAAACAAATTGAAAGATTGTTAGTAGAAGAAAACTT